ACCTTATTAGGGTTTAGTAGGATGGGGGATTTGGCTTGTAATGATCTTTGGGTAAGTATTATTATGAGTAGTTGGCAAGACCATGGGTTGGGCCCATGGCAGTTGTGGAAGTGTTGTAAGATTGTGGGGTATCGGTAGCATTCACTAGGTTTATTGACAGTTGTGGACATGTTGTAAGACTACATGGTACCCGCAACATTCACTAGGCTGGTATGCAGTTATTCAAGTGTTGCAAGACTGTGGGGTAGCCACACCAATCAATAGGTTGGTATTAGTTGTTGAAGTGTTGTAATACTATCGGGTAGCCGTATCGTTTACTAGGTTGGTAGGAAGTTATGGAAGTGATGTAATACTACGGGGCAGTCGTAGCATTCACTAGGTTGGTAGGCAATTATGGAAGTGTGGCAAGAATGTGGGGAAACCATAGCATTCACTGGATTGGTAGGTGGATGTTGAAGTGTGGTAAGTCTATTACTTTCCTTATAGCATTCTATAATGCGATTTAGACCATCACAACAATGGTTCTATGAATGTGAGAGGATCACAACCTTCATTCGGGCTGAGACGGGTTTGTTATCATTATTTTGCCACTCTATGTTAAGGCAGAAGGGCGGTTAGAGTCGTATATATCGTTAGACTAGTATAACCCCGATTGAGGAAAAGGCCTTTTTGGTTATATTATATTAGTTAAGCGGGTCATTTAGAAGTTTGAGGTTTTAATAAAATCAGGATATGTTAGTTAGGATTCGATATACCAGTGATGGAATGGTGTCAAGGCCTTAGGCTGGCTTGGGGACATGTCTTATGTAAGACTACAACTAGGCCAGTAGCATTCATCTAGAATGAATCAAACTGGCTATCGTTCATTTAGATTGCTTATCTTCATATGAATGGTTGGTTAACTTGTCCTTGTTGGGATTGGATGGCTATTAGATCAATGTTGGCGAAGAGCCTAAGATAACATTTTTCTAGTTAGAATCTTGATTGGAGTCTCGTGTTGTGGCCGTGTGTGAAGTTATTAGCTTCAACAACTGGTTAGAAATTCATTACTTTAGTTAATTGGTAGGTCACTTTGGTTCCAGGGAGATCTCGGTTAGAAATAAAATGAGAATGTTTCGTTAGCAGGATGTAATTTTTATGTTGGTTAGGCATCAATGATTGAGTCTTGTGTTGGGAATCGTCTTTGTATTCTAGTACAAGGTTGTCAGCATTAGCAAATGGCCAGGGATACTTTTTTCCAGTATCGTTGGGATAATTCAGGGTTGGAGAGCTTTGTTTTGGTTCAGGAAACAATTTAGAGTCATTATGGTATGATTTGGAAAGGTCCTATCTGTCTAAAAGTCAGACATGGTCTAGAGTTTTCAATTTTCGGGTAGAGAAATTAGATTTTTCCTTAGTTGGTCGAGGGTGGAGAATTAAGGTTTGATTTTTGTTCATTTTGGTATGTGATCCATGCTATGATTGGGGCTTTCATATCAGCATTAGGTGGCAGTTGTCTACACAAGAGCACTTCTTAGTCCTTATTGGTATTCAAGAAGTTATGGTTGAGTCGTCGGGTGTGGCAGAGTAAGTTATAAGAAATGATTTCGAGGATGAAATCTAATTTAAGTGGGGGAGAGTTATAACACCCGTGAAACAGATTTGTTTCTCTTCTATTTATCAAGGACTAAAGATGGAGTTATTGTAAAAACTTTGTGCTACATCGTGGTGCAAGGATACCCATGACGTGGCATCAAATAAATTGAACACGTTTTTTAATTCATCACCACAATGTGGCATTTGGTTGGCCATGATGTGGCAGTTGTTCTGGCCAAAGCCTATGATTTTTAGGGAATCTTCCATATTTAAACCTCATTACCTTGAACCTAGGGTTACTTATCATCCTCTATCACCCTCAAACGTCTCCTTTGCAAACCATAATCCTTTTAGAAGCATTTGTGCTCATTTTTTAAAGTTCTTGGTGGTTTTTAGGGAAGAAGAAGTAGAAGAGGTGGTGCCTTGATTCATCAATAAAACCTGATTTTCACATGCGTGTATATTCTAGATCCTTTGTAAGTCCTCAAGTTTAAATCTTTTCATTCATTCTTCTTAGATCTAGGTTAATGGCACATTATGGTCCCTTTAATATGATTATGTGGGTTAAAGAGATAAGGTTTTCAACTCTATCGTCTCTTTATATCCTAAGAGCATTATATGTCATAGATCTAGGAATTGGTTGTGATTTGGGATGCTTTTTTTGAAGCATAAGTTATACTGCATCTTTTCACCAAAACATAGAAAAGGACATGCATGTCCATAAAGTTTACATTTTTAGGGTCCATTAGGGTCCCTTAAGTTCTTCCGGAAGTTTTGGATCTAGGATTTCCTGGGTTAGGGGCTTATTCGTCTAAGTCCTATGCACTAAGTTGACTTTTGGAACTTAGAACCTAGACCTAGACTTATAATGATATCTTCAAGGATAAAGTTAAAAACTTTATCCATTAAGACCTTAGACAGGATCAGATCTAAGCTTTGGACCTCTTGAAATCGAATGAAAATGGAATAAGCTCGTTGAGCTATTCTGTTAGTGTAATTCTATGAGAATGAATAAGAAAATATATTGTTTAGTAGTGTAAATACATTAAACTTCACATAACTATTGTTATTATTACACTTTCTTACTTATTAAATCGTATATAAGTGTATTATTAACTTCTTTATATTATTCTCATTTTGTCACAAGGTTTTCATAATGTGTTGTTGATAATGGTATTCTGTTATAATGAAATGGAGTGAAAAATGATAGATGTGAACAAAAATAAATAAGAAGTATTGAAAATTCATGATAATAACAATAGTTGTGTGATTTTAAACATATTCACATTTTCAAACAATTTATTGTCTTAGTTATTCTCATAGAATAGTAAAATCCACACATATCTACACTCTCTCTCTCTCTCTCTCTATATATATATATATATATATATATATATATATATATATATATATGTATATTAAAAAAGACTGATAATCACTTTTTATCATTAATGAGATGATAAAAAATGAATGAAATGTAGCTTAACAATATAATGACAGTGAAAAATGGGAAATAAAAGATATCCCTTAGCTTTACAACAATTTCAATATTTCAAATCTATATGGTTTTGTATCAAAGCTTAAACTTTGGGTTTATATCAATCTATCAAATTTTCCAACCATCAGTCCACTATAAGTTATTTTGCATTGAAAATGACACCAAATATCTACGCGATATATATATATATATATATATATATATATATATATATATATATATATATAAAGAATGATAATCATTTTTTATCATTACAAAAAATGAATGAAAAGTAGCTTAAGCTTTACAACAATTTCAATATTTCAAATTTATATGGTTTTGTATCAAAGCTTAAACTTTGGGTTTATATCAATCTATCAAATTTTCTAACCATTAGTCCACTATAAGTTATTTTTGCATTGAAAATGACAACAAATAAATATACAAAGTAAATAAATGTATTAAAATAATATTAAAAAGCTATTGTTTATCCATCGCACATCTAAATTGAAAGATGTGTGTGTGTACAATTAGGCATGGGAACGGGAAGGTGTATCGGGTTTCATGTTTCCCATCCCCATACTCGAATCTCGGTCCCCGTCCTTATACTTGACCCCATCCCCATTTGGGATTAGACATCCATCCCTATACCCGTCCTCATGAAGCATTTGGGTCGTGCTCATGGAGCATTTGGATCATACTCATGGAGCGTTTGGATCATTTTCATGGAGCATTTGGAGCATGTGGAACTCAATGGAGCACATGGGGTTCATGCAGCATGTGACAAAGTAATGGATCATCTAAGAAAAGAATCGATCATCTGTTAAAGGAACGGATCAAGTGTCAAAGGAACGGATCGTACATATGGGGCTTTTGAGCAACTTGCAGAGGTTCAGAGCTCTTGGGAGTGATATGGAGCAACAAGGGAACCTTGTTGCGCCAGAGCAACAAAGGAACCTAGTTGCTCTATATGTGGAAGGGATGGGCCAAGAAGGGTGCTATTGCGCCAAGGGCATACCCTATTGCGCCAAACTACTCGCTCTTGTGCCATGGGGTACCTCCCTTGCGCCATGATGTATTCCTGTTGCGCCATAGAGTATACTGTTGCGCCAAGCATGGCCTTGTTGCACAATGCATGTTATTGTTTCACCAATATGGTGATGTTGCTCCAACCTAGAAGCTCTTGTGCCAATCTTGATACCTATTGAGCCATCCATACACTTGTTGCACCATCATGGTGCATGTTGGACCATCTTGGTCCTTGATAGGCCAAGCATGCTATGAAGTGCTCTATGATGCTCAAGATCGTTCAAGGATGCTTAGAAGTTAAAATTTCTCAAGGATTACACCATGTTGTGCCACCATGATGGTTATTGGGCCAATAGTGTTCATGATACGCCACATTTACATCATGATGCTCTAGTATGGCTTAAGGTTCTTCATCATGCGTGTTGTTGATGCTCATAGGTTGTATCACATAGAAGAATATTCTAGAAGATGATGCATGTTGGAATATGTTTGGTTGTCACCATCTATAGGCCTATGAGCTAATGGGTTTGACCCATTAGGGTTTTAGGTATGACTCTCAAATAGAAACAGGGAAGCATGCAGAGTCCTTTGTCTTGTGTCTTATATCTTGAATTCTATAGTGGTAGACGAATCTTTGATGAATTGTACTTGTAACATCTATTTTAGAATTCTGAAATAAAGAATACCCCCTCTTGCTCGTGGACATAGGTCGTATTAACAACTTTTGCATATATATATATATATATATATATTATATATATATATATATATATATATATATATATATATATTATATATATATTATATATATATATATATATATATATATATATATATATCGTAGTATTAACAACTTTTGCATAAATATAAAAAACTTATATTTAGGGCTGATATTTATTTTTAGCACTAGGCCTCAAATCAATGGAACGCCCTTGATTAAAAGTAAAAGCCGGCAATTCTATAGTAGTTTTATGAAGTCGATAACTATAACAACCTAACCATTTTATTGAAAGCATTAAAGAAATGGCTAAAATTAAAACTTGCGTTTCCTTTCTTTCAAAAATACTACCTATCGTGTGGAATTTTTGTATTTCTGTTTTTTTTTCGTATGGTTTATATTCATCTTAGACACACATTCTATTGGAACTCCATCCTTCTTCTATAAATACCCATAACTGTCTCTACATTTTCTTCATCTAACGTGTTGCGGGTTCTTCCGTTTCATCATATATAACTTTAAAATGGCAAAAAGATCAACTGCCACCTATACAATCCTTCTCCTCCTCTTCGTTCTTGCCATTTCAGGTGCTCAATCTATCAAGTTGCTTTAGATACTTTTCCAATCTTTTACTTATTATTCTGATTTTGTTTCCTTAAATTCTAACAATTTAATTTTCTTAATTGTTTCTTTACAATCAAGAGCAATATGAAGTTATATAAATAACGAGACTTGTGTAACTTTTGCATGGTGTCAACAGAAATCGGTACAGTGAAAGGAAAATTATGTGAAAAGGTGAGCCAGACTTGGTCTGGAAAGTGTAATTCCAAGAAGTGTGACAAAAAGTGCATTGAATGGGAGAAGGCCATCCATGGAGCTTGTCACAAGCGTGAAGGGAAAGGCGGCTGCTTCTGCTACTTTGACTGTGCCAAGAAACCTCCAAAAGATGCAAAACCAGTTCCTCCTGATGCCGTACCACCGCCTCCAAAAGATGGTTCCCCTCCAAAAGATTCGCCTCCTGCTGATGGCGGCGGTTCCCCTCCTCCGGCTGATGGCGGCGGCTCCCCTCCTCCGGCTGATGGCGGTGGTGCCCCTCCTGCTCCTTCCCGACACTAAAAGCCTGCTCGTGGTAAAAGGAAAAGGATAGCAAACCTTATATGATAAAAATAAAGGAGAAAAATGCCTCGTAATTAACAAATTTAGCGTTTTCAAAGGTGTAATATGTGTTTCGTTTTTAATCAATAATTTAAGATTCAAGGCATTAGTACTTTGTCAATGTAAGAAATCTACTTTTATAATCATGTCCAATAAGCACCAATAAAAAAAAAATCTGTTCTCGTATGCAAAATAGTCCAACCCATGCATGTAAATACATAAAAATATTGTATGGCATTTATATATTTACAATACTAGAAAAACTGGGAAATATATACCCACAAATTAGCGACAGCCAAATGAAAACAAATAGTGTCGATGATTACGGATGACATACCGACGACTCCACTTTACTGACGGATTAGCGACGACTCCATTTTACCTGAATACCAACGAAATGCTGAAAACATGATTTTACCGACAGATTAGATATGATTTTGATCATTTTTTACTCTCTTTGACTTAGTTCCGACATGACCTTTTACCGACATATATCACGTCTTTGATCTATCTGTATTATCGATTTATTTTTCTAAAAATATGTACAATATCCAGTTTTTTTGTCAATATGCCGAAAATAAATCAATACTCAAAATTTATTAATAAATACATTCAAATACAAACCTCACTAATTAACATTAAAGATAATATGTAAAATATACAAAAAGTATCCCACTACCAAGTTTTACAAAGTTGTTCTATACCAACTAAGAAATAACACAAAAGCAAACAATACCAAGTATGTTTACATATTCTGTTTTCTACAAAACTAAGCAATATCATCGGGTAGATTATGGATTTGATTACCGAGCACATTCCATTTTCTGAAAAACATGGTCATTTTTCTTGAATTTGCTCTTGTACTTGTGGCATGGTAGAGACTTCCTCACACAACCTTACAACCTAAACAATGGTAACAAAACTAAGAAATAACATAAAAGCAAACAATACCAAGTATGTTTACATATTCCATTGTCAAAAAACAAAGAAATATCAATGTACTTATGTTTATTCTAACAATATGCTTAACATTTAAACCATAATAGGAATGTCATTTTGTTTATTATACCAATGTACTTTACTTGATATTTATAGCAATATATTTAAGTTTTAAACCATAATAGCGATGTATTTTTTTAATTAACAATTTAATCCAAACTAGTTTTCAAATGATATTTACCTTAAAGTTGATATGTGCAATGACATCTATTAGACCATGACAGGTATAAGAAAGAATGATAACTTAATCTTAGTTTTCGATTCTAATTTATCCGAAGATATTTAGTATAAATCGTGTCTATAACATTGTCGACATCGTCATATATACAAGAAGTCGATCACTTTGCTCCATTCAGATGTGATCTTGGTATAATTTAGCTTAGAGTGAAATATTGTATGTAGAATCTTGTTTACATAGAAATATGACAAATGAGCCATTCACATGTAATTGTGAAAGACGCAACGATTTGTTGGGCCTCATTTACACGGACTTGTGTGGGCAATTTATATCTACCATACGACATGGTGAGAGATATTTTGTAACATTGACTACTGATTTTAGTAGATATGGATATATTTATATGATTAAACATCGGTCTGATATCTTTTAGGTGATCAAGACATTCCAAATGGACATAGCAAATCAAGTAGCTAAGATGATTATGATTCTCCGATCTAAAAGAACTAGAGTGTATCGTACTCATAAGTTTTACGCCTATCGTAAAAGTTGTGGAATAGCTTTGCAGCATAATGTTGTGTCTGAGAGGAGAAATCGAACATTGCTTGATATAGTTAGATTAATGATGAGTCGCGCTACACATCTGATAAGTTTCAGGGGTATTGCCTTAAAGATTAATGCTAATGTCCTAAACCTTGTACGAACTAATATGGTTTCTAAGACGCCCTATGAAATGTGAAGTTGAGTTTGTTCCTCACTGGCACATATAAAAGTATGGCATGTGAGGCTTTCGTTCATCACGAAGCAATTGACAAGCTTGATCCGAGATCAAAGAAGTGTTACTTCATTGGGTATCCTGACAAGTCATGTGCATATTTGTTTTACAAAACCTCTGAGAACAAAGTTTTTGTTGCTTGAAGGGCAGTTTTCCAAGAGAGGGAGCTGATATCTAAAAAACTAGTAATAGCCAGATTGATTTTGATAAGATTCAAAAGTCGACTAATAAAGAACTTAAAGTTGGCACTAGCACTCAAACTGAGGTTGAACGACCCGTTGTGGACTCTAATTTACCTCCATATCCTCTCATAGATTTCATAGAGAGCATTGTGTTCCCAAGTTTTATGTTTCTATTTTAAAAAGGGAGATAACACACTACGTGGAAAAGATGAGCCAAGCAACTATCTGGAAGCCATGTCAAGCCTATAGGCTACAAAATTGCAAGAGATGCTAGAGAGCAAGGTTTAGTGCATTTGTATTAACCAAGTTCGTAACATATTGTATCCCACACCTGGCCTTAAAACAGTGGGTGTAAAAAGGTTATCGAGTACAAGACCGACATGGATGAGAATCTACACACATACAAAGCTCAACTGGTTATGAAGAGTACACTCAGACTCAAAAAATTTATGATGATGAAACCTTGTAACCAGTGGTTATGATTAAGTCAATACAAAACTACTTGCCATTGGAAAATTTTATGATTATGAAACTTGATGAACGGATGTAAAAACCGCTTTCCATAACGGAAAACTATCACATGATGTATATATGACAAAACCAAAAGGTTTGATATAGTCCAAGTATCTAAATAGAGTGTGTTTCCTTAAGAGGTCCATTTGTGGCTTCAAACAAGCCTCTCGTAGCTAGATTCTTTTTTTTAGATGAGAAAATCAAAGAGTTTGGTTTTTCAAGAACCGAATATGTGATATACGTATATGTTAGACCTGGTGGGAGCTCTATTGTCACCCTTGTAATGTATGTCAATGGCATACTACTCATAAGAAAATATGTCCCAACATTGTGAAGTGTAAAATCTTGGTTTGGGATATATTTGGCTAGGAAAGACTTCGGAGACCCAATATATATACTTGGTATAAAACACCTATAGAGATAGATCTAAACGACTAATCAAATTAAGCTAAAGCACATAGATAGATAAGACTTCTATAAATTCAAGATGCGAGATTCAAAGAAATGGTCCGTGCCTATGCAACATGGCATGACATTGAGTAAGGCTTAGTATCCCATTTATAATGAGGAATTGGAAAGGATGAGTAGAATCTCCTAGGGTTAAAATCTCTCCATTGGAAGATCACTTAATGGTTTGGACATATACTTTAAGACATGTTAAAAATTAAGCCATGTAACATATTTGGTTGTAGCTCCCTATAAATAGTATTATCTTATTCTTTATAGAGTAGAGCTCCCACTTTAGATTAGATAGTTTGATTAAGTAGTTGAGCAAACACATGCCCCTATCAAGTTTTATTCTACTTCTCATATTTTTATAAAATTAAGTTTAAATCTAGGTTTATTATCTTGACAAGTGGTATCAGAGTAAGTAACTATTCATGGAACGGTTTGTTATTTGACAACATTCTTACATAATCGATTCATGATTTGATAACTTTTGGTGACCCTAACAATATCTTTATTAATCTTATACATCTTATTGGATTTATTATTCATCATGATTTTCTGATTAGATATAATTCATTTCAAAACCCATTTATATTTTTATTCAATCCAAATTTTAATGATATAGCCAATTTTTTTTCCATTTACAATTCATTGTATTCTTCTATAATCCATTTGTTTGTTGGGCTATTCAAGCCCAATGTAGTCATATTGATTTAGATTTGTTACAGCTCAAGCTCAAATTAACATTTAACAATAGACGTGTATAAAAAGAACGGTCTTGGATTGGAACAAAAAAACGCTATCACCGAACCGATCTAAAACGAGACCAGACTAAAAAAGATTGGTCCTAAAATAGATTGGACTGAAAAAAGACTGAGTCGAGACCATCTAGGACCAGTCTGAAAAAGTCTGGCCCATTCAGAGACCAGTCCTAGAAGACCGGAATGCTCTGAGACTGATACAAGACCAGTCAAAGACCGACAGAGACCGGTCTGATAGTTGTTTCAATAAAGTTTCGGTGGCCAAACATTATTAATATATCATTTTTGGGTTAATTACACAATTTTTTAATCATATATTATATAAATTATTTCACTTTCATCTTTTATCAACCTTAAATTGTCATTTTTAATAAATTTTAATCTATCATTTTGGCATTAATTATGTATTTGTTAACAGACACAACTCGATGTAACATTCGATTTCGAGTACATTTTAGATTATATATATATATATATATATATATATATATATATATATATATATATATATATATATATATATATATATATATATATATATGCTTGTGTGTGTGTGTGTTTTTCAATTTTAGTCCCTACATTGGGCGTAAGTTGGAACTACGCCCCGCGTAGCTCTTTTAACTTGGTTACGACTTTGGGCTCGTACGTTGACCATATGTGTAGGTATGTAGAGCATACTCGTGAAAAGTTCAAACCTTAATTTTTAGCATTTGGGCCCTATTCAAAGGACTTTATGGCACCAAGCCCTTCGCTATCTGTAGCCTCCATCTGTAATATCCCTCATCTCGAAACGCTAATCCATGTATGCAAATTTTGAAGTTTTTTTTAGTGATATTTGGGTGTTCTTAGTGGTGAACAAATTCCTTTGTAGTGGTAGTATTGCTCTTAAGCCTTGAGATTTTGATTTTTCTCATCTATGTGTATCTCCAGGAGATATAAAGCTTAAGTCTTGACGAGTACTTTAATTCATCTTGTTAAAACCTAAACCTTTACTTTTGAGACTATAGAATAATCTAAAGCTTTTTAGCTATCCTTTCAGACATTTTAGGTTGTATAGTGCCATAAAAATGCATGTTCGGTCCTTGGTAATCATCCATGCAAGAGTTATGAAAGTTTAGATGATATTATTAGTTAGAGTTTTGGTTTTGAGTTTCCTTTTTCCATGAAAGGGCATAAAGGTTGCAAATTTATGGCTTTAGACATTTTATTAGGCATGGATATAAACTTTGTACGTTAAGTCTTAACCTATTAAGACCTTACATTAGAGTTTGGAACTCGGGTGATTACGAATGGCGTAAACTCGAGTACATTGGGCGTAGAATGTTATGGCCTCGTAACCTTTCCATGGATTGGTTGTACATTGGGCGTAATGTGGAGTATGTCGGGCGTACTCCTAGAAAACCCATTAGGCCATTTTTGGGCCTTGATTACTTAGGTTAAT